CCGCGAAGGGGAAAGAGCCCCGCGAAGGGGAAGAGCCCCGCGAAGGGAAAGCAGCCCCACGAAGGGGAAAGAGCCCCGCGAAGGGGAAGAGCCCCGCGAAGGGAATGCAGCCCCGCGAAGGGAATGCAGCCCCGCAAAGGGAATGCAGCCCCGCGAAGGGGAAAGAGCCCCGCGAAGGGGAAGAGCCTCGCGAAGGGAATGCAGCCCTGCGAAGAAAAATACATCCGCGCAGGGGAAGCGCCCCGCGAAGGGAATGCAGCCCCGCGAAGGGGAAAGAGCCCCACGAAGGGGGAAAGCCACGCGAAGGGAATGCCGCCCCGCGAAGGGGAAAGAGCCCCACGAAGGGGGAAAGCCACGCGAAGGGAATGCCGCCCCGCGAAGGGGAAAGAGCCCTGCGAAGGGAAAGGGCCCTGCGAAGGGGAAGAGCCCGCGAAGGGAATGCAGCCCGAGCCCTGCGAAGAAAAAAAATCCGCGAAGGGGAAGCGCCCCGCGAAGGGAATGCAGCCCCGCGAAGGGGAAAGAGCCCCGCGAAGAGAAGGAGCCTCGCGAAGGGAATGCCGCCCCGCGAAGAGAAAAGAGCCCTGCGAAGGGGGAAGAGCCCTGCGAAGGGGAAGAGCCCGCGAAGGGAATGCAGCCCCGCGAAGGGAATGCAGCCCCGCGAAGGGGAAATCGCGAAGGGAATGCAGCCCCGCGAAGGGGAAAGAGCCCTGCGAAGGGGAAGAGCCCCGCGAAGGGAATACAGCCCCGCGATGGGGAAAGAGCCCCGCAAAGGGCATAGAGCCCCGCGAAGGGGATAGAGCCCTGCGAAGGGGGTAGCTTCCGGGCTGAAAAGGAACCCGGCGCAGGGGAAGACTCGCGAAGAGGAACAAGGTGCAGGGGAAGGGGGGGGTGACGGGCCATGCCCCGTCGAGGGGATGGGAAGGTTCGAAAAGAAGGAATCAAGGTGGAAAACAAAGGTGGGGAGGTTGGAAAAAATGCAATCAAGGTTGATTCAGAGAAAAAACAAGGTGAACAAAAAGTGTGGCAAGGTTGAAAAAACATGAAACGCCGACCCTGAAATTGAAAAAGAAGGGGACAAGGTAGAAAAAAAAGCTTAAGGTTGAAAAAAAGGGTCCAAGGTTGAAAAAAAGGCATGCCCTGAAAAAAGACGCGGCCAAAAGCGCTCGCTGGAAATGAAACAGGAGCATCCCTGACTGAAGGTGCGGTTTTTCGGACTAGTCCGAAGTGAACATGGTGGGGAGCCTTTGTCTTTGCTGTAAATAAAGAGGATCCCATAAACATGGAGGCCAAAACCTTCATACTGAGGATCGGCAGGAAACTCAAATGGGCAACAGGACAAGGGAAGTGGGCAAAGAATCTTGGGCTCCTGGCTTCTCAGTGGACCTGCTAAGTCATACCTTGTCCTTCCACTTGCGACTATGTAGGTAACCAGGGGGTACCATCATGTAAAACTTACAAACCATGATAGTGACACCTGGAAGACAAGCTCACCTCTGGAACCCGCGCTGCAAGCTGCCCCAGAGCGTTGGGCAGAGATCTCATAGCTTTCAGCTGTTGGGGAACAAGGGAAGCACTCTTCTTCTTGGCGGATTTTTAGACAAGGATCATCTCAAGGATCCTCACTTGGCCCCTTAGGGACCTGGACATAAAGGTTAAGCTGTTGAACCTGTACTAAAAATGGACCAGTCTGCGAAACCAAAAGGTCAAATGGTCGATTCGCCTCGGGGTGTGACCCACCCTATCAGCTCAAACGACTGGGCTGAAAGTCCAAAGGACGAGTCGAAGCACTTCATTTCAAGGGCCACCATTTGGTTGAGTGTAGGGTGACCCGTCAATAGTACTATTACAGAAGATTGTTGTGTACTTCGTTCCAAGCGATGTTGCATTCTCACGTTTACCTTCACTGGAGGTCAGGGATGAACATTGCTTGCGCCTGGACATAATTCTTCGCGAAGCGTGCCGCAGTGTGCAAGACCTGGCGAGAGGCCGAGTGCTGGCTCAAAACCGGGTTGGCTCATCCTTCACATTGGGGTTTGCCAGCCGGTCGACCTTTAAAACCAACCAAGAGGGGCTGCCTGGTTTTCTTCAATCCCTGGCATGGTAGCAAAACAAATTGTTCTTTGCAGATCTTTGCAGCAAGCAATAAACAAAACCAACAAATCAGTAACCAACGAGCAACCCATTGTTGCTTATACATGTATTGTGAGGACTGGGCTCACTCTGGTGAAAGCTTCCTGGGCTTGGACCCAACGAAATGGAACCAACTGGCAATGCTGCTGGTTAAAAGGGGAATGAAGACTAACAAAGCGGAAGGTTGAACCAGTAGGCTTGGCGGTGGTTTGGGGCAATGGAAATCATCTAAGACTTTCGGTTTCATCTAGAATCCTCCCGTCTGACTTGCCGAAAGGACCCGGAAATACAAGGTTAACCTTTTGGGGCCATGACAAAAAAGGTCCAAGGGGAAGCCAAAACCTCAAAAGGTAGCTTCGCTTGGGGCAACTGAGTCGGGGAAAGCTCCGCCCCAGGGCCTCGCCACAATCAGAGGGCCCGTGCAGGTGCACGATGTTCAGCGCGCGGCGGTACGCCTGGCCGTCCCACCGTCCCAATGTCCGCTTTTGGCAAAGACACGCTCCCTTCCCCCCCCCCCAAAACACGCCCAATTGAAGTGCCCATTTGGGTGGCAATGGGTGTACCGTCCTGCGCAGTCAGGGTTTGACATCATGCCCGTAAGAAAGTGCATGTGTGTGTGTGTGGAGTAGGGGCAGCCGCCCACTCAAAATGGGAAAGAACCGAAATCCGTGCAGACAGTTGCGGCGTCGAAAAGAACCGCTGGCCTCAAGCCCATAAGCCCATAAGCCCACAAGTTCAGGGCTTGAAATCCTGGGGCGTTACACGCGATGGGATCCCCACTTGGCCACACTGCCGGGGTTTCGAAACCCCGCAGTTCCGATTGAAAAGGCACTCAAGGGACTGAGCCACCCAACTTCTGGTTTGCTATAAGAGGATCCCCGATGGTTCATTGTTGTCCCCAGGTTAATAAACTGCTGGTTGATTCATAGCGTTCATAGGGGGGTGTCCCCTTTAGAGGGGACTCAGACCACTTTTGGCAGGGCTTTCTTGTAGGTGTGCTTTTTTGTTAGTTCATCCGGGGTCAACAATACCTCCTGCTGAGCTGACTGGCAAGATGAGATACGAAGATGCCCCGTGCCCTCGATTTACATCTCCGGAAGATGACCACGTGTCCCAGTTTCCCCCAGCCACGTGTTCCCATAAATTGTCTTATTGTGAAGCCTATGGGTAAAGAATAAAAGAGGGTGGGCAAGCACAAATTGAGCAGGCCTGGGAGCCCCACGCGCTTTGCCATCTGCCAGCCAACCTTTCTATACAGGTGCGGTGGTAAATAGGCAAGCACGATCCACATTCATGGGGAGCGCAAGATCAGAGCATGGCTGAAGCAACATGCCAAGTGGGTTGCGTCCGGAAGCCAGACAGAGAGGGGAAGAGCGAGCGAGCGAGAAAGAGAGCGAGAAAGAGGAGGGAGCCCGGAGCCTGAAGAAATTCGAGCATCGGCAATAAATAACTATTCCTGGGAACAACATCCAACATGGGAAGACCCGACAAATGCAACCGCCGCAAGGGGCCCTGTTTTAGATGGGGAAGCCACCATCAGGAAACAAATCATGGCACCGAGCAACTGGGAGTCTTTGTGCAAAAATAAAGTCACGCCAAGGGTATCCAATATGAGCAGGGATCCAAACAGACCCGCAAGCAAAGCACTATTTCTTTAGTGTCAAAGCCACCTGCCAAGGGCTCTCTGGTTTTGATAGCCCCAAATAAGAGAGCAAGGCGCCCTGGACACCGCAGCCTTGAGAATGCCATCAATTCCTTTCACCTGGCGCCAGTCAAACGCTTGGACGCGGGACCCGAGAAAAGGTACGGCCGATCGTACCTCAGCTTTTGCACTCCAACCAGAACTCTATATGTTAGATTCTGGTCCATGATAGAAAACCATAAAAATAATCGACCATACATCTATATTGCTAGAAAACCAGAAAAAAAACATTGATGAGTTGCACACCGGCAGAAATCAAGATTTGGGTTGGCTGTGAAGAACCTTGCCGCTTCTGCAGCCGTCCGCTACAAGATGAACAGAAATGAAGCAGGCAACAAATTCAACCAGCCCACAACGAAGTCAAGCGCAAATCTTAATTCTGGTAGGGGTCCCCAGTCTTTGTTGCTTCTTGTGTGGGGGAGTTGCTATATGTTGTCCTCATTGTTGGTGCCATCAAATGCTCCCAACATTCAGCGGACACAATTTCCGGGGAATTTCCACTTCGTAGGCCTTCCCCGCAAAGGGTTTGCTGTGCAAATGGCATATCCTCTTTCCATCACGGAAGTGGACGCTGGGCTTCCGAAAAGGCAAACCCTACCAGGTTCCACCTGGCTCGAGGGGATCCGATTTCAGCCGAAAAGTGAAGAGCCCCCCCCTTTTCAGGAGGGACACCTGTCTTTGCAACTTCCTTATAATTAATTAGGGGACTAGTCTTTTACTCACATCCGATCAAGTGACTTGACAGAGAAAAAGGAAGAAGAAGAAGAAGTCATATCCATACCTTTTGTGTACCACTAAAATGGCCCAAAGCCAAAAAGTGACGATCAAGTCCAAAACGAAGCTCAGAACATGGCAGGGCATCCAGTGCCCTACTTAGCTTCAAATGCCCCGCGCACGTAAGAAACACATCGGATATTTCATAAGCCTCTTTTCTCACGGGTTGACATCATACCCGCCACACAAGATCTTGGGTGTAGGGGCCCTGGGGGGTCCCGCTTGCCTGAACATCGGGGCCCCCAAGCAACCTCAAGAAGGTAAACTTGGCGTTCGACCATGATCTTGGCCCGTGAAACTTGAGACTCCAGTGCCACCAGCACCTCGCCTATTCTTTCTGCCTGCGGCGCGGTTCCAAGGGCAGAAACGCTAGATGCGCCTTGACGCCCGTCGATCATTTCGCTTCCTCCGTCAGTTCTTTGAGCACCAGGCTCACTGCATGGACCCGCGCTTCCTTCAGCGGGTCCCCAGTGCCCCACGCGAGCCGTGAGCGCCGTCTTCAATTTGGCCGCCACGCCGGCGCCGAACATGCCGCGCTTTTCATCCATACCCACCCCTTGGCATGCGGCGCGCAGGATCGGCATCCGTCCGTACCAGCGGTGCCACTGTGTCGCGATTTTATGTGGGTATGTCAGTACCCTTTTCAGTGGGCGCCCCGTTGGGCAACCAACGCAAAGCGATGTGGTTGCTATGACCCGGCCTCAGCATGTATTCTCACTTGCGATCGAGCTGTCGGTTAAACAAAGGCTGAACTTTCGGTTTGGCAGTAAAATGGTCTTCCCATACAAAAAGAACTCGGTTTGGAAAAACAAGCGAAATGATGCGAAAAGTGGAAGCTGACAACTGGAAATAATCCCGCATTGAACCATCCCTCGCTCAGGGACCCCGGAGACCTCTTGGCAAACAAGTTCAAAAACTGTTTGAAGGGTTGTCAGGGGGTTTAATACTCGCGGTTTGGAACAGCGGTTTGCAGCTTGAAGGCCGGTTTCCTACTTGCCCACAAGAATCATGCGGCTCAAGGCGCCACTTCCGGGTGCCTGACTCTACCCAGCCTCCAATCATGGAAGTGGATGATCGGCGGGGAAAGTAGTCTAACAACCTCTTGTCGGCTTCCGTAACCTGAGGATCCAAAGGCCCCTTGTCAACAATTAGGAGCTCCACTTACTCATACTTACTCCACACCTGGTGATAACTAGGTCATCCAGTACACAGGTTAGAATAAGGGTATTTTTTTTGTCTGTATATAGTCTATTTTAGGGGGACCCTCCCCCCAAAAGAGTTTTCAGGGCACTTCTGGGGGACCTCACCTGCGGCCTCCCTCTCCAAATTCCGATCCGCGCCTGGGGATGCAGAAAGTCCCCCGTCAGGGCAAAGCAGTTGGAGCAGACCTCGCGGCTCGCGGCGCAAGCGCGGAGGCTCGCGAGGTCGTCCGCGGCCAAACCAAACCAAGCCAAGCCAAGCCAAGCAAGAAACATAGGTGTCCTTGTTCGGAAAAATCGATCCAAGCAAAGAAAGATAGTAGCCAAACATCAAAGAAACAAATGACACGGGGCATCCGTCTCAGAACCCTTCAATGCTACGATCACAGGTCACATCAGCGATGCTGCCAAGTGAATCCAGCTTCCGAGGGCTCAACAATGTGGCTAGGTGTCGAAATAGGGATTCGGACCCTCAAATTTGGATTTCGTTCCTGCCGGGTTCCTAATTTAAGCGAGCTCAACAAGGATACACAACCCGTACGCCGCTGATTATTGACGTGAGGCATTTCTGTTCCCAAGCTTTTCCGAGACCAGTGCCAATCCCTATGTGTGGGCATGTTGTCTCGGGAGTTTTGCATGATGTTGAGCCCGGATGAAGCCGCTGAACTGGGTATCTCACCAAATGGGCCTAAACAGGGCCTCCTCAAAACAAACACCTGAACATGGTCATAGCCTTCTTTTGGCTTCAACCTCCAGTCAACCTCCATTTGCGCTTAGTCCCTGTCCCTGGAAAAATGAGAGCCTATTTCCTAAAGCCAAACACTCTTTAAAACCAGCACGGCAAGGGTTTCGGTTCGTCTCAAAACGGGAAAAGACCAGCAAGTGGGTGGGTGTCCCCTTGGTTTCCCTTTAAACCCACGCACAGGGACAAAAAAAAGAAGAAACAAAACGATACCTTTCCGCCTCAACAAAGAATGGAGCCCACCGCAGGTCCCAGGTGCCACGGTTTGAGGCGCCGGGCAGTGTGGCTCGGCGGGATCTTTGCCCCGAAGCCATAGACCGAGTAGTGCCCCGTCGTGTCGTAGCTCCTGAAAAGCTACGCGCCGACCCTTCCCGTCCAGTGGGGTTGCCCAGAAGTCACCAGTCGCTTGGCCTAATGAACACCCCCAGAAAATAAACTCCTGTGTGTTAATGTGGGGTTGTTCCTGGTGCTAGTGGGGAGAGGAATACCCCCTACTAATAAAATGGCGTTGATTAATAGGGGGTCAACATTGCTGTGGATGGTTGCGAAACCCATTTCGCACCTACGAATCAATGGTTGAAACTATTGTTGCTGGCTTACACAGCGGAATCAAATCATTCCGTTGGGCTTCTTAGGTGGTGCGGTCCATCCACAGTATGGTCCAAACCCAACAAGTGCCTAAAGCGCGACTCTGAAAGGTGCGTTTGGGGTGTCGTCTTGCTTCACTAGAGCCTTTCTCAGTTCCTCCCAAGAACAAGTCTGTCCGAAAAAGTAAAACGCCCAGGAACTCAGGGAGTGAGAATAAATGGTTCGCAAATAAACAATGGAAGGTACCCCGCATCATTTTGTGACGCAAACGTAGGGTAAATCATTCGGTAAATTCGCACTTAGGACCTATGAGCCAGGGATATTGGTCAATTGCTGGGCGATCCAGACCTGCACTTGCTGACTCGGGTTGGCTGGTTGGAAAAGCACACATCTTCTGGAGGGGCAAAAGCTCAACTGACTAAAAAACCAGATGAAAAATATCCGCCGACATTGCTCGGCGTGTCGGATACTTACTAGAGGATAGAGGATAACCCCCCCCCCTAACCCCCCCCCGCCCGACGTCTATTACGTAGGTTTTTGGGGGGGGGGGGTCCCCCACGTACCGCGCGGCAATTTGATGACGTTCCACTAAACGTAGTCTTCGGGGAGCCGGTGTCGCAAAACAGGGGTCCCAGGCTCGATTCCCCCTGCCGGCTTTTTTGCTGGCTTGGGCTTCCTGCATCCTTTTGCCGAAAATCTGGAAAAACTCAATGTTTTTGGACGTCCTCTTTGCGAAAACGCTGGAAAAACCGTGTTTTTTGCGGGAAATACTGGGGAGCAAAGGGGAAGTGCAAGGATACATACATACATACATACATACATACATACATTACAGTACATTACATTACATTACATGACATTACATGACATTACATACATACATACATTACATACATACATACATGCATACATGTATGTAAGCATGCATGCATGCATGCATGCATGCACACATACATACATACGTACCTACATTACATGCATTACATTACTTACTTACTTACTTACTTACTTACTTACTTACTTACTTACTTACTTACTTACTTACTTACTTACTTACTTACTTACTTACTTACTTACTTACTTACTTACTTACATACTCACATACATGCATACATGCATACATACATACATGCATACATACATACGTACATGCATGCTTACAGACATACATACATACATACATACATACATACATACATACATACATGCATGCATACATTACATACATACATACATACATACATACATACATACATACATACATACATACATACATACATACATACATACATACATACATACATACATACATACATACATTACATAAATTACATTACATTACATTACATTACATTACATACATACATACATACATACATACATACATACATACATACATACATACATACATACATACATACATACATACATACATACATACTTTACATACATACATACATACATACATACATACATACATACATACATACATACATACATACATACATACATACATACATTACATACATGACATACATACATACATACATACATACATACATACATACATACATACATACATACATACATACATACATACATGCATACATTTCATACATACATACATACATACATACATACATACATACATACATACATACATACATTACATACATACATACATACATACATACATACATACATACATACATACATACATACATACATACATTACGTACATACATAATACATTACATACATACATACATACATACATACATACATACATACATACATACTTACATACATACATACATACATACATACATACATACATACATACATACATTACATACATAACATTACATTACATTACATTACATTACATTACATTACATACATACATACATACATACATACATACATTACATACATACATACATACATACATACATACATACATACATACATACATACAAACATACATTACATACATACATACATACATACATACATACATACATACATACATACATACATACATACATACATACATACATACATACATTAAATACATACATACATACATTAAATACATACATACATACATACATACATACATACATACATACATACATACATACATACATACATACATACATACATACATACATACATACATACATACATACATACATACATACATACATACATACATACATATATACATGCATACATACATACATACATACATACATACATACATACATACATACATACATACATACATACATACATACATACATACATACATAACATACATTACATAAATACATACATACATACATACATACATACATACATACATACATACATACATACATACATACATACATACATACATACATACATACATACATACATACATACATACATACATACATACATACATACATACATTACATACATACATACATACATTACATACATATGTACTTACATACATACATGCATACATGCATACATACATACTTACTTACTTGCTTACTTACTTGCATTACATTACATACATACATACATACATACATACATACATACATACATACATACATACATACATACATACATTACATACATACATACATACATACATACATACATACATACATACATACATACATACATACATACATACATACATACATACATACATACATACATACATACATACATACATACATACATACATACATACATACATACATACATACATACATACATACATACATACATACATACATACATACATACATACATACATACATACATACATACATACATACATACATACATACATACATACATACATACATACATACATACATACATACATACATACATACATACATACATACATACATACATACATACATACATACATACATACATACATACATACATACATACATACATACATACATACATACATACATACACATACATACATACATACATACATACATACATACATACATACATACATACATACATACATACATACATTACATACATACATACATACATACATACATACATACATACATACATACATACATACATACATACATACATACATACATACATACATACATACATACATACATACATACATACATACATACATACATACATACATACATACATACATACATACATACATACATACATACATACATACATACATACATACATACATACATACATACATACATACATACATACATACATACATACATACATACATACATACATACATACATACATACATACATACATACATACATACATACATACATACATACATTACATACATACATACATACATACATACATACATAAATACATACATACATACATACATACATACATACATACATACATACATACATACATACATACATACATACATACACATACATACATACATACATACATACATACATACATACATACATACATACATACATACATACATACATACATACATACATACATACATACATACATACATACATACATACATACATACATACATACATACATACATACATACATACATACATACATACATACATACATACATACATACATACATACATACATACATACATACATACATACATACATACATACATACATACATACATACATACATACATACATACATACATACATACATACATACATACATACATACATACATACATACATACATACATACATACATACATACATACATACATACATACATACATACATACATACATACATACATACATACATACATACATACATACATACATACATACATACATACATACATACATACATACATACATACATACATACATACATACATACATACATACATACATACATACATACATTGCATACATACATACATACATACATACATACATACATACATACATACATACATACATACATACATACATACATACATACATACATACATACATACATACATACATACATACATACATACATACATACATACATACATACATACATACATACATACATACATACATACATACATACATACATACATACATACATACATACATACATACATACATACATACATACATACATACATACATACATACATACATACATACATACATACATACATACATACATACATACATACATACATACATACATACATACATACATACATACATACATACATACATACATACATACATACATACATACATACATACATACATACATACATACATACATACATACATACATACATACATACATACATACATACATACATACATATGTACATGCATGCATACATACGAGAGAGGGAGAGTGGGGAGAGAGAGGCTTGGGGGGATGGGGAGGATGGGAGCAGAGGGAGGGAGAGAGGACGACAGAACACACAAGGGAGACAAGGAAGAGAGGAAGAAGGAGAAAAGGGAGAGGACAATGTCGGCGGACTGAGCCGGAGGCTCTAAAGTAATGGCAAGAAAAAGGGTCACAATGTTCTTGCAGAGGTGGAAGGACCCCCCCCTCAGAAGCGGAAAAAGAAGTATATTGAAGGTTTGGCCCATAGGAAGCCCTTCCCCACTTCCCAGCCGCCGGCAAAAGGTTGAAGGATGGTGCATTTCTCTGTTCTCGCACATGGTTTTTCGTTTTAGCGACGCTGCCCTCCCAAACTCGTCAGACATGAAAACAAAACGAAGACTCAGATCACTAGCTAAAGGGGTTCAGCACAGTTCCGGGCCAAAAGCCTGGCGAAAGCTTGAAGTCAAGCCCCCTCGGCTTCATTTCTTTCACTTCTGCACCGAGAAAGTCTCTGCCTTCTGCAAGGGGAGTCACTCAAGCCTCATGAATTCAGCCGGAATCGGGCCCCATGTCCGCAGGAGAGATATGGATCTCTAGAAACTGGGCCATTGAAAAAACCAGTCAGTCGACTACAATGGTTGCAACATCGTGGCGACTTCTCCCGGCGAGAAACAAATTGTGACAATTCAGCTTAGCGGCAAACAGACTCATTTTATCGCTTAAAGCTGAAAGATCCAACACCATGGCCCCGCCAACGCGTGTCTTGCGGGGCACACGGCCCTCAGCCATTCGCGCCGGGAGGGGGCGGGGTCCCCGCTTACGCGCGACTCGCTTTGCTTCGGTCCTCAGCACCTGGCCCAGGGCGCAAATGGCGTCTTCGTAGGCGGTGGCCAGCTCTTTCTCACAGAGACCTACAGTGGGGTGCCCCCAAAAAATGGGTGCGTCTTTTGGGGGCAGCCCCCAAAATGTGCGTTTTTTTCTACTTTTGGTGTTCAACAAACAAAAATCGGGGCGGGGGGGGGGGTACCCTCAAAAAAAGGCACACACAAATATTGCGAGTAAACCAACCAAGCTCTTGTGAATTGGAATAGCTTGGGCGGTTCCCTGGTTCCCCTGCTTGCAATGCCGGACCGCGGGCCGAGCGCATTTGGAAGTCTCCGTGCCCTTTGTGTGAAACAAGTTTTCGACAAAGGACAACCCAAAGCAATGACACCCCTTATTAATCCAACAGGGGTTTATGAATTCGGGGTCAACATGAAGCCAAACACACTTCCGCAAAGGATCCAGAAATACACGGTGATCATCTGTCGGGACTGCAAAACACAGACCGAAATTTCAGAACTGACACTGGGCAACTCATCAAGCAAACTCCTAACTGAAGGAACCCCTCTTCGCGGGCTGCCCGTATTGAGACCTCATCCCTTCAGAAGCCATGATTCAACCGATGGCAAAAAGGGCCTGCCAAAACCAACGGGGCTCTTGCTCTGGAAAGAGGACCGGGCCCGAATTGTCCGAATCCATTCCCACGAGTTTGGCCAAAAGCTTGCACATGTGGGGCCAGAAAACCCTCTCTTTGGGTCCAAACACATTGAAGGCACCAGAAGAAATCTGCAATTCTCAGGTCCTGAAACAAATGGCACCTGGCAAAGGAACACTGCAGGAAACCTAGCAAGTTGTCCACAGACCACCCGGTTTTGGCCATACTTTAAGGGCTTACCCAGCTTGACGGCCCGCGCTGTGCAGGGACTCGGGGTTCATAGTATCCATCTGGGCGCGGCACGTCCGCAAGGAACTCACTTGTTCAAGGTTAGACTCCCTCCCACTAACATAATGTTGACCCAGGATTAATAAACCTGTCCCATGATTAGGGAGTGTTCCCTCCAACAGTGATGAATCCCCACCAAAAGGGGACACCCCCCTATTAATCAACCAGGGGCTTCTTAATCCAGGGTTAACATTAGCACCTGTGGAAGGGTAATGCCAGACTGATACCTTGGAAGGCAACACCAACATAGAACCTCTGGAAGGGTACACGGACCAGTTTGTCTCTTGAAGCGACCCTCCGCCAAATTGTGGGAAAGCGGGTAAGGGGCATGCGCCTTTGGGGCAAACCCAAACACTGTCCATGGAGAACATGACGGCTCGGGCGCTTTATGAGGCACCCAGGAAAAATGAAAACAGTTCCAGCCCAGTTGTGATACACATTCCCTTGAAAACCAACACGGGAACAGAAAGCATATGATTAAGCGACTGAACGCTTGCCGGTTTTCAGTAGGTTTTCCGAGACACTGAACCCAAACTGAACCATCCGACTTTTGCGGCTTCAGGGGTGATTCATGTCCAAAGCCTTTGAAACTGAGAACCAGCAAGTCAAAGAGCTGCCTTTCCGAATCGAAAGCAAAGCTTGGATTTCAAGGAGTTACATGCCCTGCAACATGTGGTTCCGTTTCGGAGGTGAGTGGTCTGACTTCATTCACTATTTTGGGCTTGACTTAAATGACTTGCGAGTGCTTAGTAGGCGATTTTGGGGAATGAACCTGAGGGTGCCCATTTAACAAAAAAAACGTTGGATGGTTTGTCTTGGGGTCATTCCATTTCTCATGTCCCGAATCCCTCGTACCAAGAAAGACACCAACCAAACCTGTTCAAACAGCGTGCCAACTGTGGCAATGCCATTCTGTGGATGGACGAAATCCTGCACCACCTAAGAGACCGGGGAATAGCAATTTGGTGCAGGATTTTGTCCATCCACCGTTTGGTGCAAAGGCGATGAGCTTCTGAAAGCCCATGAATAAAAATCAAGATAGGCCAACCAGGTCAAATCGGAAGCCCTCCCCAATAACAAGCGGAGCTTCTTGTTAAAACCTTGGAAGGCGTTTCTTGTTGAACCAAAAAGAAAGCTGGAACAGGAAAATGGGGTGACTCGAAGAAACCGGCTACCGGAAATTCTATAGGAATCCTACAGAAACTGTTGTAGCTGGCTTCGGTGAAAGGCTTCATTCAGTTCTCATGATCTGGTCAGTCATTCTAGGCTGCATGTTAGATGTTCCAACTGTGGATTTGACCAATTGTCGCACTTGCTTAGCACTCTTGTAGCACTTTTCAAGGATGAATCCACAGGAAAAGGCATCAAACACAAACCCTGGAGCATAATGAATTGTGGTAGGGGTCTCAGGCCGTTGCTTTGCTTGCCCTGCATGACGTCCGTATCTGGCTTTGCCTTAAAAAGGCTCGGTACTCCCCTACACGTTGACATGCAACCCAACAAGAGCCCGCACCCAACCTGAAATGACCCGTTGGTTCTTCCATGTTGGCAACCCCTTTTTGTTGGGTCCCAAAAGGTGCTCACCCTTCATTTCCAGGTCCCGACTAGTTGCAAGTAAGAATAACGTTGCATGGTGCCGGCGTTCGGAGACAACTCCCATGCGAACCGGATACCCCCGTCCCCCTGCCAAGGGCTAGGAGTTAGCCTTCTAAAAAATAAGTGAAGGAACCCAAAAGCCTCAAGAACTATGTTAGGATTATTTGTTTGGCCGTATGTGTTAAAGGTCATGCGAAAGCCATATATTTGGGATCATTTGTAAGAACCAACGTGAACTCGCGAGTGGTTAACACATCCCATCGGACCCCTTCATCCCGGTATTGCTTTGGGCAGGTAGCATATGGGGCTAAACCGATCGCTTACTCCGGCAATTTCACCCATTCTACTCACTCTACTTATTTTTTGGCTCCAATAAACTCGGGATTCAGGAAGGTTGTGGCTTTCCTTCTGCTTTCACCCTGCTTGCACCTCCCAGCTAACCACATGCCATCGGTCACGAATGCCGCACCCGAAATCTCCCCACGTTGATCCTTGGTTTCCCCACGTTGGACCGTGTGAAGTCAATGCCCAGCATCATCCGGAGCTCCAAGCCGCCTCCTAGCGGCTCGCGAGCTCAAATAATCCGCCGGGTCCCAGACCCCTGACCCGGGTGTTCCTTGTAGTCGGCACCCTTCCTCCAACAAAGAACAGGGCGCCTAGCCTGACACCAGGTGAAAAAACATGTTCTGCATTTGTTGGAAGAAGGTAGTTGGTGTTCAAGGGAAACCCCGACCAAGAAGTTGAAAACAGGGCTCGGTTCCAAAGCAAGCAACTGGGAAGAGATTGGTCTGGCACTCAGCTTCCCTCTAACTGGTTTGGGAGTCATGGCTGCCAAGTTGCAGTCAGTTAGAAACCACAACTTGGAGGTGGTGACGTCTTGGGGGAAAAAATGTAGATGGGGCATAAACCCAACCTAAACCCGTGGCACCAAATTCTGCATTTCCAACCTATGTAACCTAAGGACACCTATGCTCGGGGTAAGATCTTAGCCGCAAGTTTGACCATAGCATGTTTGGTGAGCTGGCCAAGGCCCTCCGTATGGAAGGAATTCTCGGTTGGAAAGGCAAGAGAGGGAAGGGTTGGATCCCGGACAACACTCACGCGAATCCATCGATCCACCAATCCTCTCTGAGGCTCGTGGATTTTGGGCACAGTATGAATGCGGATTCGAAACCGCTGGTTTCTCCACCCAGAAGCATAAGCTTCCGACCGAAGATTTGCTCCAAACCTGCCAGTCAGAGAATTGTGGGAATCAACTGGGTTGTTCTTAGGCCTACTTGAGAGGCTGGCAGTGTGTTGCGCAGACCAGGGGAATCGAACCCTCCGCTGGTGCAGGGGACCTCTAGCAGAGGCTGAACATATCAATCCGCGAAGCCGGATCACTCCCCTGAATTGCTGAAGGAAGGGGGGGGTTCAGTGCTAACATCCCTAGCTTTCCTGCAGATTCAGGTCGCCATGTAAGTCAAGGCGGTCGCTTGGGCATCCCCTCCCAAGCTTCCGAAGTTCCCCCGAGCAACGACCAAATGCAACATCCGAGCACCAGACGGACGTAGTCCAGGAAAGTGTAACTCCGCTCCAGGATCCTCAACACGCCAAGCTTCCTCTCTAAAAGCAGATGCTTCTGAGGGCATTCGGAAAGTGATGGTTAACCAAGCCGGCAAAAAGTCAAACGAGCTCGTACAAAACAGGCGAGGACCCACAAAGTCTGCTTTTCCTGGCCAGTTGGAAAACCCAATGACATCGGCAGGCTTGTCCTTTCACAGTTGCATGGAATCGCTTAAAAAAATCAAAGTCTCGCGACTGAAGCGGCCGCTGCCTCGCAGTTCCTTTGTCTCTTTCGGAAATATATCTGAGATCCCTTGACGGACGCTGCACCCGAATTAAAGTAGATTCCTCTTAGATAGGTTAGTTGAGGGGTGACTAAACCAGTGTTGTGGGATCTAACTGTGCCAGGGATAGGTGCGGCTCGGGCTCATTTCCTCAGAGACGCCGAGGCTCATCGTCCAAGGCTGAGAAACGCCGTGTTACTATGTTGTCATTTTTCAAGTTTTCAAGTGGGTTGCACATATAAATCAGCTTGCCTCGGATTGGTTCGAGCATCCGGGGTCAAAATCCTCATGCGCGTGGAAGTGAACAAAGATGCAACTTATGAAAGGAAGCTTACAAGGAACTTCCGCGCTCTTGACACTAATCGATGCGTAGTTTTGCGCACAAATGCGATGAAGACATAATGAGCACCTATTGAGAAAAATGCGTGCGCTTGTGGCGCAGGAATAGGCACCGCAAAAACAAGCAACCCTCTGCGGGTGTTCGCATCTCCGGCTGGCCGCAAGCTGATTCGGTCGCGACGGGCCTCAGGGTCTCGGAACGGATTCCACGAACTCGAGACCAATGTTCGCGACTGGAGGCAGGGCAGCAGCACTTTGCTGGAGCGGTCCTCAGCCTTTGGGGATAGGCGCACATTTGCAGCCTGCAGTGCAGCACAACGCATAAAAGAAATCCCATGGGCGCCGACGAGCAAGCTGTCACATGCAGATTTCGTTGCAGGGCGTCGGTCAGATTATCAAAGTGTCCCCTTTATCATGTCACTTGGAGCACGGATGGCTTTGATAGGCGGAACCTCATGTTACTATCACATGGTGATGGCCTAATTTAAGCTTATGGCCCCAAACCCCGATACAGCAAGCTGAAGACCAAATTTCCCACAGGGCAAGTTGTGTCAAAACAAGGGGGGGGGGGAATGTGGCGTTCCTCTGACCTCCCTTTCATCCCCAGGAGAAAAACAAAAAACACGGGACAACCTCAAAAAGCGAGCCATGCCCAGTTTTCCAGCGCAAAAAGCGTCGCTTCGAGTCCAAGGATCAGTTGCTCAATGGTAAGCTGTCCCACCACGGGTCCAAAGAAGAGCGTGCGGTCGCTGGCGGAAACGCCTCGTTTCCAAGACAAGTTCTGCAGGGTGAGGCCACCCTGTGGATGGACGAAATCCGGCACCACTTTGAAGCCATGGTTGAAGCCATTGTTTGTTGGCATTTGCAGGTCAATCGTATCATTCCAGGGCTTCTTAGGTGGTGCAGGATTCTCAGGGCACCCAAAGTCAAGTCAGAATCTATTTGCTGGTTCGATAGGGAAAGAGAAATGCAACAACCCCCATAAACCATCGAACAGGTGGTTTCCTTCACAGGAATTCCTGTCAGAGAATCACCAAACCAAACCAACTTTGGGTAAGGCAAATGGCAGGAACACCAACACAAACCTGTTTTTGTGGCCTCCTTTAAGGGAATCCCGACTTCCGGTTTGTTCCCAACAGGCTGGGTCATTCTGCCCTTGAAAGGGCCCAAACAAAACAGGCCTCACAGTTCTGGGGCCACAAAACGATCTGCTTCCCGAACACCCCAGCCAATTTTCAAGCAACCCTGGCACGAGAGAAAGCAATCAACCACAACAGGTCGTTCTCTCAGCATATTGCGAGCCCGACCGTCGAGCTTACCCCACAGCCGCTCGCTAGTGGTTTGGATTTGTGGCTTGGAGGTGGCTTCTCCTAAAGTATCCACAAGAACGGGTTCGAGTCCCCGAAGCAAAACGGCGAAGGTTGCCTGAAACCCTTCCGCAAACGGAGGCTGGCGCGGACGGTTGAACTGGGTGTGTCTTCCAATAGGGCCACCCCTATATAGTGCTCTTTCCTTCAGGCTTCCCTTGAAGGCGATCCCGTGCAGGGTACCGAGCCTCAAAAAGGACCCAAGCAGCCAAACCCGACGCTTGAGCACGCTTTTGCCACAGGAACGGGCGTTCCCCGAAAAGAGGGCATGGTGAGAAACAATTAGTTGGCGTATGGACCGTTGGCGGGTAAAAGGGATGACAACACTAGCATGGGTAAATCCACCAACTTTCACCCAGTAAGCAAAAATTGGCCAGCATGCCCAAACAATACAACAGGAAATGAACAGCCCACAATTGGGGGTCAGCGAAACCCACTGACACAGAACCCCCTTTAGCTAAGTTATTTTAGCACACAGAACGTGTGTGTTTCCTTTTTCGCTTGTGTGTTTCCTGTTTTTTGCTTGGCAGTTTGTTTGGTCTTACAGGAAGGAAAGGACACCACACATTTTGGGGCACCCCTATGTTCAGACAAACCTGACAGGTGGCTCTATAAAAAGAGGTGATCGAAGGGTCTGCGACTAGGGGAGCTGACAACAACCTTATGATTGCAAAGGTCGATTCGCTTTGGGCTGCCAAAACCTCCTCGACTCGACTTGACTCGCCTGCCGTACCGTTGGTCCGTGTCATGGACATGGTGGACTGATACCTGGGCCCGGGCATCTCCAATAGAACTCGACTCAGCTGAGTCTCGAAGGAATGTTGCCCCTTCCATTTGTTGAAGTCGCTCTGGGAAAAATTACAACATAGGTCCAGTCGGAAAGATTCCCTTGAAAACCATCAGGGGAAGATACAACATATTCCTAAGCAAATGCAAGCTATAGGTCTATCTGCAAATCTTAGGGATCCCCAAGTAAAGAAACTTTTTCATGGTGAGTTATTTTTTCTTTGCCAGGTGAGCTCGCTATAAAATAGGCAAGAGCTTGTGAGTCTCGAAAGGGTTCTCCCTGCTTCAAGTCCCCTGAACAAAATCGAAACATGTCCAGTAGTGATGGATTGCCGTTCAAGCCAACAAGGGAAAATCAGCCAGCAAGTGGACGGATTCCCGGTTTCCCCAAAAAGGGTCACGCAAACGATAGCCACGCGCTATCCAAACATGTTGCTCCCCAGGTGCCGCGCCGTGCGTTCCAAACAGCTGGCGCCGAGTCACGCGGCGAGATTTCGCAGCGTTGTTCCGCCCGGCTGGGAGGTCGAGTCCTCCTGACAAGAAGGACATGTTCTAAGGGATGCAGGGTGGGTCCGTCAACATGTGTAAGGAACTTTTGATTGAAGTACCAGCTCCTGATGTACAGGTACAAGGGTGTAGTCACTCTTACCTTTCAAGGGGAACTGCTGGATATTTTAACATGTTTAAATGCCCGCCGTTGAACAAAACATGCGGCTTGTTCTTCTTTGCCAGGCCTGTTGGGTTTTGCAGCATGGATGTGTGTGTTTTTGAGGGTGCCCTTTTTGGTGTGGTTTCCAAACGGGAACCGAAAGGAAACCACAGCTTCTTTGTATCTTTCTTGCTTTCTTTTTTTCTTGGGGGGGTGACACTTGACCACATCCGGCTCTCAGGCGTACAGGAGTATGCCTCTTTAATGCCCCCTGTGAGCTGGTCGCTTGAAACTATGTTGCAAATTCCGGAAATCACCAAGAAGGGGCATTCTAACGATCACTATCTCACATTGAAGGGAACTTCCGTAGCGCCCCTACCGTTGGGTGAAAGTAGATGGCACAAATTCGCCCTGTTGGTTGAGTCGTACCCTTTTCTACCCCAACTAAACTAAAGGCAATTACGCCGATCGCAATGATCGAAGCCCTGTTAAGAAAAGTTCATCAAAGCCACTAGGACAAAGAAACCACACACGGGGGTCACTTTCACACCTCCGTCTTATTATGAACATGGCGTTAGTTCGCAAGTCCAAGCGACGGCCTCGTGCTGCCACCAGCCGCGAGCGTCACCCTAGTGTACATATGCGTCAAAGTATGCATGGACACTCTATGTGTATTATGTGTACGTGGATATGTGTCACCCAATGTATTTGAAAATTCGGACCCCAGTCGTGGCTGTCCTGTTGCTTCCCGTCAAAGCCTTAAAGCACCACGGTCCCCACGCGCCTCCGACCACCCGGTCAGGGCGTTCAAGGTCTTCCGCAGCGAGAAGCCTCGGTGCTTCTCTTGTGGCTCGCAGGTAAGTGGAGTCTGGGGTTGTTTTCTAGGTCCAGTGGAGAGGTTAGAATAAGGGTCCCCCAAGAAAAGGTACATGGGCACTACTGAGGCCTAGTTTTGCTTGGATGGCAAGCAAAGGAGCGCAATGTGTCGATTTCTTTTAGCCCCTTATTCTTGGGCCACCAGATTCTGGTCAAACAGGGATTTCTCTACTCCATATTTAGCCTGCTGAAGAGTTTTATGGCAGGAAAGGTAAGCCAAGACGAGCCCAGCTACAGTTGGTTTTTCTTTTGAAGAAACGCAAATCCGTTGGTTGGTTCCCAGAGACTGGACGTTAAGTCTGGAGGCTGGGCCATTTTGCCAAGAAGTAGTGAGGTCTGGGGCCAACTTCCTCGCAGCAAATCCTGAGTTAAGGTGTTTGGGAACGGGGGTGTGCCGCCAGCTCCTTCTGAAACCCAGTGGGACGAAAATCCTACCCAGAGGCCAGTCGCCAGTTGCCGGGGTAAGGGGCTGGAAAATTCACTGGCACCAATCCACCTCAGGCCTCCTTTGCAGGAAACTAGCGACCATCATGTATGATGCTACTTGGCCCCCCGAAAAACACAAAACAAACAACAACCTGTTGGAGCCTTTACTCAACTCAATTCCTGAGTGCATGGGCCAAAACGAGTCCAAACGTCTTACTTGCCACCATGGCAACCAAACCCAAAAAGTGACTAAAGTCCGCGAACTCAATCAGGGAAGGCCAAAGGTGAGAGTTGGTCGAAAAAGCCACGAAGCCACGAAGCCCCGAAGCCAACGTGTCCAAATAAACCGGTGGCAACCAGCCGGCTGTTTCTGTCCAATCCTCATGTGGGAACCCTGGTTTGCAAGGAACACGTTTTGCCCCTTTTGCACGGGTTCCGCTTAAATCCAGTCAACATGAGGTTTCTTGCTTGGAGCAACTGGTTGTAGAACCATCATTGCTTAAAAGCGCAACGGTAAACACTTAACCCAATGAAAGGACCCTCCAAGATTGACAATTTCCTCCATTTGCTTAAGTCCCTGGAAAAACATGTTTCCAGCAGGTTCCAGTAACGATAGGTTCCCTTTAAAACCAGCAGGGAATCGTGTCTTAAAAGATATGTTCATTTCAGCAATGGACGACTGGGTCCTCCAGCAGAGAGGTTAGAACAAGGGTACCCATTCTTCGCTGTCTATTTTAGTAGGGGAACCCTCCGCCAAAAAAGGTGAGAGAAGGGCACTACTGGGGGACCTTGACGATTTGTGAAATCCGCGGCACATGCAAAAATGGGGGATCTGCATTTGCCCAACAATCAAGATATAAAGCAAAGCAATAACATTTCAATTGAGCAAAAATCAATGGGAAAGGAACTGTGGATTTGCTAACTCCGTGGGAACCAATGGCTGTGGGTCAAAAATGGGGTAACCCCAAAATGGGTTGCCCTGGTAAATGGAACCCATGACTAAAACCTGCGGTCCATATCCTGGCGGTTTAATTTTTACCCACACAAAGAGAATTGTGCCACCCCCCGACTTCCATGGCTTCCTCGCCTTTGGCTTGAGACCCTTCGACTCCTGGGGTTGAAAATGGGCCTTCGCTTTCTCCAAAATTTAACCTCGGATGTCTAAACCCGATTCTTTTGTTTCAGAATTCCCCCCACCTCGCACATTTCGAGCCCGGCAGTTTTCGATCAACCCGACCCCGACGAGACAAATGATGCCTTTCCCGGCCGTGCTTCGAGATGCGCAAGCTGGGCTCGTCTCCTTCGCCGGGTCTCCCGGTCGCGGCCGGTCGCTCCGGGCACCCCGGCTGCGGCTCAGCGTCTTGGAGGCGCCGCGCTTCAAGCTTTGCCCCCGCGCCACCGCGTCCCGGGAGGAGGCCCGCGAGACCTGCTGCGGGTTGGTTTCCTCCCTTCAACCGACCACTTGGGTGGTGACTTTAGTGGTGACCTCCAAAAACCACAAGGCAGGAACCAACCAAACTTTGTTGGTTTCCTCCCTTCAACCTACAATTTGGGTGGTGACTGCTGGTCCTCCATTTGCTTCAGTCCCCTGGATAAAATATGAAAATATGTCCAGTGGTGATAGGTTCCTTTAAAACCAACAGGGGAAAGTAGATCAGATTCTTAGCCAAATGGAAGTTGTTGCCTTCCTCCACTTGGGTGGTGACCTTCGTGGTGAAATCAGTAAGAAAGTTCAAGCAACCGAACCTTGCTGGTGCGAGGGATTCAGGGAATAAGAAATGGAATGACCCAAGAAAAAAACCATCCAACTGGTGGTTTCCTTTAAGGGGACCCCCAGGTTCATTCCCTCACCCCGTACTGACCAGCAGCAATACCCAGTGAATCCGAGTTTCTAGGCAAAATCTGATTGGCCCTTGTGAGTGGACGCTTATTTTGTCCCACTTGCATACTTACACACCCCTTATGCAATCCCAGTTATCCTTGTAGTGGGTAACCAGCTGGTTTCCTTTTGGTTTGCAAAGTATGGTCCCTGGGTTTCTACTTTGGGGTTGTTCAATCGGCCCTTTACATGGGAAAAGTTACCCATGACCAATTTGCGGCCAGGAACGTTGATCAACCCCCACATAAACCCACCAACCACTGCCCACAAGGCAAAGCCAGCAGCGAGACATGATTCCTTACGCCGCGGAACATAGGTAGAGAACCACAGGTCAGCATTGCCCAGGCAGGGTAAAAAACACCTCCACCATCAGCATGGCAAGCCAGTTGCGGCCGTCCACGCAAAACAACAGCCTGCAAAGTTAGCAACTCGGCCAAAAGGCCTATTTTTGTTCATGAGTGAGCAGAGTCGAAATGAACCCCGATTACAGGTAACCAGCCACTACAAGGGCCAACATGACAATATGGATTCATAGCCCAAGACCGAGACTCAAGTTCCATCATGTTTGCACCTTCAAACTGGCAGCAAACCTTTGGCACAAACGCAAAATCCTCCACAGTTCAATGCGGAGTGCAGTTCTGGATTGAGCCTGTGTGCGGTGGTGTGCGTCCGTTTTGTGTTTTTGTTGCGCACTGTTTGCGGCAATCGTTCGTCACGAGCCTCCGCAACAACAACACATGGTCAGACCAAAGGCCAGTTCTTCAGGAACACGGCTAGGTGGTGCCTAGAGCAGGCTCAGCTACCCTGAAAAGGCTTGGGCAAACACACTCACTGCTTTTGAGTGAAAATGCCGGCAAAGTCTTGTGCCCGAAGAGATGGTGCCAGGCATGGATTGCGTCCATCAACCTTACCAAAAGGTGGACGGTTACCCATGTCCATGACAGCATAAATCTAACTTTTGCATTGATCCATACCGGCTTCCGACAGTTGGTGGGCGAGTGGTCACATTCCACAAGTTCAGGGATCCCACCTGGAAAATTCTGGGAATCTCGCTTGCTGAGTGGATGGCCCAAAAAAAGTCCAAACTTGTATTTACAACTAAAATGGTCGTCCCAAAAAGTTTAAAGTTCATGAACTCAGGAAGTGAGTTATGGGAATGCTAAGTTCCTGGTTCATTCCAATCATTCTTCCAGCTACGAGCTGAAGGGTTCCAGCCATCAGTGGATAGTTACCCAAGCGCTTGCCCTCGGCGTTCCTTTCCGAACATCGTATCGAAGAGGATTCTATGTCATATTGCACCCTAAAACATAGGCCTAAAACCTTCTGAACTGTGACGATCAAGCCCATCAACTCAGGAACTGAGGGGCCCTCAAGACTGGGCTGTCCCCTGCGAACAGTCTAACTTCTAGTGGGAATCCAGAGAAAAAAAAAAAAAAAAAAACGAAAAACATTTTTTGTTTTTGGTTTTTGTTTTTCCCCGCTACTGTTCTGGGGATAAAAGCTACGGAGCCCATCGCATAGCGCCGCGAACGGGGCGCCTTAGAGGCCTGGCGCGCGGCCTCCTTGGAGCCCGACTCCTCGCTGCCTCGCGGCGAGACGGTTGGTCACTCGGGGCTCGGGGCGGTTTTGGGGGGGGGGGGCGGGGGGTTGGCGCCCGTGTTTTGGCCCGTGTTGGCGGAGCTTGTGGCGCCAGTTAGTGAAAGATTCACTAGGTCCTCCAGTAGTTTGAGCTTAGAATAATAAGCTGGTACCAACTTCTTCCTGTTTTTTAGGACGTTTATTTTAGTAGGGGAACCCAAAACCCCCAAAAAAGGGGAGAGAAGGGCACAATTGGGGGACCTAGTTCAAAATTTAAGGTACCCCCCACCAATTCACATGTAACCTGACACGGAAAGGGCCCCTTGGAAAGGGAAAATAAGCAACCGCATTGTCCAAACCACATAGGTATCCTTTGTTTTGTCAAAACATAGATGCCCACCTTCTTGAGGAGGTGCATGAAAACCACACTCTCCAGGATTGGACTTGGAAGCCCACCCCATGTCTCACTGGATATCCCCAGTTGCATTGTGCCCCCTTCACGTCTGCGGGGACTTGTCTGGGGATCTGCGCGTGAGGTGACTATCACGCCCGTTCTGAACCGCCGTTTCACCCATGGTTTGGGGAGCAGCTGGTAGCAAAATTGGATATGGAGGTCAAAATGCGCCAAAGCCAGGAAAACCATCCACACGAATTGACAACGGGGGTGCTGGGCCATGATCAATTGGGGGAAAAAAGCGCCCCCTCTTACGAATTGGGCCCCTTCCAATGATTTCTTACACTTCTTTCCTTGTTGGCCCTACCTTGCAAGTATGCTGGGTCGTTAAGTGGCATCGGTTTGAAGCAACCACCTGTCGTTGCAAGAACGCTCATTTCACACCATAGGTGGGTTGTCCCAGTATTCCAAACAAGCTGAAAAGGCCACCTCACTTGCAACCGAAGGAGCTGGAAATAAAGGGCGATGCGTTTCTTGGACCCTTGACAGAAAATAAGACGTGGGAACAAAGAGCTAATCACTTCTGCTCAAGCCACTCACTTGTCAGCTAAGGCTTCACTGTCCTATGGTTTCCAAGGCCCCCCTCAATCCGAGGGACGAACAGGGAAACAGCATACTTAGACCAACTTGAACCAACTGTACTAAGCACTCTCCCAAAGCAATGAAGGGACGTCACGCATCTCAGTATGTGCGGAAGCACCGTCCCAGGAACTTCTTCTTAGGGGCATTGCCATGGCTGGGAACATGCTTGAGCCAAAACCCTAGGTGACAAAAAGGGTGTCCCAATGATTAAAATCGAAAAGTTACCCATCTCCTTCTGGCCTCCTTTGGGAAAAGCAAGCATAGGCTATTGAGCACAGAATGGTGGAAAATCCAGACGGCTCCAAAACGAATAGACCAGGAACTGGTTTCGCAAAAACCATCAACCAGCAGCGACCCTAGCAGCTTGGGACAGCCCAGTTGCCCTGGGAGAAACAGGAGGCCTGTTTAAGTTGATCAGGGCAATACTTGATTGGTAATGTTAGAAGTTGACAGGAAAGAGATCCTTTTTGAGTTCATCAGCTTCTGGCCTTTCAGCAAACCAACCCGCAAAAGAACACAGAAGAACCAAAAGAAGGGCAAGGAAAGCGCCCGGTGCTACTGAAGAACTCGGGGCTGTCTCTTTTGCTTACCACTAGGTCCTCCAGAAAGGTCAGATCAAGGGAACTCAGTGAGTCAAAGAGATCCAAGAAAGTGACGGGCTGCGCTCGGGACTCGGGACTCGGGACCGGGCCCCCGGAGCGCGCGTTGCTCTCCTGGAGAAAACACGGGGCATTGCGGCATGGCCAACCCGCCGTAACCCGCCCAGCAGCCCAACAGAACACAGCAGAAACCCCAAGTTTTCCAGCAGCACAACAGCCCAGCCCTTGTGGTTGGTTGGAAGGGAATCCAACCAACGGAGTCCACACTCTCAACATGGAGGATCCCTCCAAGCGGATGCTTGCTTTCGTCCATGGGAAAACCGCAAGGACACCGGGAGCCCATCCATTTGGGTCCGTCCTTGCTTGGGCGCTGCAACAAAAACAAGGATTTGGGGTACTTTGCCCGAATTTTGTGACAACCAGGGGTTTGAGGCTTGTCAACGCGAAGAAATGAAAGCACCCGGAACCTGTGAACCCGTGCCATCCGGTGCCTTGCTGATGCTGACGAGGGTGGAGGAGCGGGCTAGCGCGTAGCTCTGCCTCTCCTGTGCCATGGTCAGAACAAAATGTCCACTTGGTTGCTTTCTGCTCCCCTGAAAAAAGTTTGACTTTTACTGGTTTAATGGAAAACCCATTAGTTGGCAAGAAGTTAAAGTCCAAACACCCCGTGGCAAAATGCACCAAAGCCCACCTGCATGGCATTCCTTAGAGTCATATCTGCGTATGGCTCCATCCCTCCCTGACCATAAAGCTAGAGCCCTTGTTTCCAAAAGGGACCTTTTTTGGTCACAGCCCGGAGGCCAGCCATGCATAATCGCAAGCAACTGAAAGCTATGCATAGATCCAAATCCCACCTCAAGGGAATCCTCCAGTTGATTTGTTCACTGGCAATGTATCCAAGGGAGCCTGTCATAGAGGGGAGTAACGATGGGGTCATGTATGCCCTGTTGTTCTTCACAATGCCCATGTTCAATCCCATTTGGGCTTGTCAAGCTCACCTGGGGTAAAAGTCGACAATCAGCGAAAACATGTGTTCCATTTGGTTAAGACCCCTGGACAAAAATGAAAATAACCCAACTTGAATTCTGCCTGAACGACGAAACGCCCGATGTGAATCTCGCGATTTGCCAATCAATGCCCCGAGTAAGTCCCGAGATGTCCCAAGTAATCTTAGGGGGTTTCTTGACCAGGATGTCCACCATTTTTTGCCTAAGGTGGTAACTGATGGAAGTTCAACTCGTTAGCATCTATGAACAACTCGGAAGGCCCTGTCAAACATCCACATTCCCACATTCTGTGGTTGTCCTCACTTGTCACAGCACCGTCCACCCCCTCTACCAACTCATGATGTAATGGGCATCTGATAAGAAGGGAGCCTTCACTAATCCCCACAAGTGACTTACATTGACTCAACCCTGCAACGGTGGGACATGTGAGAGGGACACATTCAATGGATGTAACAAACCATCCCTGCTACATGAATTTGGATGGGGATAGCTTGATAGAAAGTACTGTGGATTCCCCTTGAAACTGCATGAAGGCTGGTTCACAGCACAAATCACCCCTTTGCTTATACAGTCCGAGTGATTTGCTTCAAGCCACGACCTACAAACAGAACCAAGAAACACTGCAATAATAAGACACCACCCCTTTCAAATCCGAAAGACACATGGGGCAAACACATCGCCCAAATAGCTAAGACAACGCACACCAAGCGCCGGGACGCTCCTCCCCCGCTATTGATCAACCAGGGCTTGGTTCTTCGATGTGAGCTGAAGGAAGCCCCAAAAGAGAAACGATCCTTGGTTGAGAAGGGAAACGTTCCAGGTGAACATGGAAGCTCCAGTAAAGAGGTTAGAATAAGTTCGTACCAACCTTTTTCGGTAGTCTATTTTAGTAGTGGAACCTCCCCCAAAAAAGGGGAGAGAAGGGAACGGCTGACCTAGTTAACATGGAAGCTCGCAAGACCTACGGCTTCTTTCCCCTGACAGGGGAGCCATGTTCCTCTCCCCCATCCCATAGAATCTGAGCCGGCCTTGCTCGGGGAAGCTCGTAGCTCCTGTGCCGGAAGCTCGCTTTCCTCCCTGGGAGGCACACATGGCATGCAGTTGATCAGGCCAGAAGCGGGGAGTCGAACAAAAGCCGCCAACACGAAAACACCTTGTATTTGCTTCTGGGCTGCCAGATCCCAACTTTTAGTGGGTTAAATGGAAACTACCACTAAACACTAAACGGCTAAAAGGCTAAGGGGATGGCTCGGAGCCACTAAGCCTTGTATTTGATTTGCATAGTTTGGTGTTTGAGGTAGCCCGATGATTTTCACATTCTCGAGGAACCCCCGCTTGTTACTAAGACACACCTACACGTCGAGGGAACTGGACATGAATATGTCTGTTGGCTTTTAGCGGGGCCGTTGCCCCGTATGGGCTGTGTGCTTTGTTTGTCTGCCTGTGTTCGTCTCGAAAGTCAAGAATCCACAGAGTCCAGACGAGTCAACGACCGAACCCGGGACATCCCGGGACGCAAAAAGTGAACCAACTCTTTGCTGATGAAAATTGGAAGTGATGCAACACCGCGATTGCATAGAAGAACGAAAGGAAAGGACACTCCCCACTAGCCTCGGATCCCCCCCTAGGAATCCAACTGATATAGTTGGTTTGGATTGGTGGTGGTTTCCAGTTTTCCCTGCTAGGAAGGCCAAGGGCCCAAAGCCCCACACCACCAATCCAAAACACCAACTAGGGCTTACCTATAGACAAAGCCATGCATAAACCCATGACTCCATCTTGGGAACACCTTCAACGCGCTTGTGCTGCCCACAATTGCGCGTTTCATTGTGAAAACCATAGGCAAACGTCACCAACAAGGACTCTCCCAGCTCTCTCCCGATAAATGACCTGCATCATGGGTTAGCTCGTCCCCTTCCTTCAAGTGAGCTAGTACACGAAAGAACTCATGGAACCAACAGCAAACATGAAACCCGCGACTGTGGCTTTGGGAGGGGGAATTTGGGGGTGGCAAACGGGGGGCGGCTTTGGGGCGGCTTTGGGGGGAAGGGGGGAAAGTGCCACCTTTGGTTTGTTGGGGTTGGGCCAGGTTGGTGGTAGATGAAAAGCTCGGGCCTTTAGTGGCCCGCAGCGCCCCGGAAGTGGGGTTACTCCTGTGGCTTTGTCCGCAGCCAAAAAGCACCACCTGATGTATTTGAAACAGCTGGCAAAGGTTGTTTTTGGATGAATCTAGCATGACCAAAATGCATCCTTTAAGTGACCATGAAAATCCGAGCGCTTGGATACCACATTGGAAGGGTGTATAAGAGGGCCTCTACCAGCTGACTAGGTGGTCCAGCCAGCTGCGCACTTGTGTTCAATGGCCGGGGCACTCAAGCCATGTTAGACGTGCAACTGCTGCATGACACCCCAACTGCAAGGGGAGCAGCCCCCTGCCCCTTTTTCCCCATGCGCCCAAAGCCCCAACCGGCGCCGCCCGCCAAACCCCCCCCCAAAGCCCCCGCCGGCTCCTTGGAGGGCACCGGGGACGCGGAGCTGGAGCGGCTGCGGGAGCTGCTCTTCGTCACCGTGGCGCGGCTCAAGACGCTCCCCAGCCGTGTGAGCTGCGCGAAGCCCGTGGTGCGCCGCGGCTCCTCGAAACGCGTCCGCCCGGGGGCGGGGGAGGGGGCTGGCGGCGGGGGTCGGAAGGTCTTTTTCGAGTCGATGCGTGGGGAAAAGGACTGAAGAAATGGATCCCTAGAGTGAACAAAGCTGTTTTTGGTCTCACTTTCTTGGTGCAAGTGGATTTTGCATGGGGGAAAGAGGATCGGCCTCCGATTTTTCGGGGGAAAAGGGTGGACGTTTTTCCGAATCGGAGCCACCAGTAATTTTGACAACGCACAACGTTTACTTCAGCAATCGATTTTGTTATTTTGAGGGGAACCCTTTGAGGGTTGTCTTTTTGTGACACTAAAATGTTGAGACCCAAACAACATCTTGTGGCAATCCTTGTTTCCCATGCACTTCCAAGGTTGTTTTGATACATCACCCTATCCTTGTTTCTGAAGGGAGCGTGGGTGAAGAGATTGGGGCATCAACCCGGAAAAGCCATGGTGTTCCCTTTTCCTTCACTACTTTGAGGCCTGTTTGGGGCCAACCATCTCTAAGAGGAACCCAAGAAGCAAAAACCCTTGCAAACGAAACTCTCCTTCAATGATAGATGAAAAGGATCTGCCACGACACCAAGGGGAATGAATATGGAAACCCCTGCAAACCGCGTTTCCGGACGAGGGAAGGCCCGAACCTAGAAAAGAGAAAATCGGATAAACAAACCATGGAAACCCAATACATCACTGGAAGCATTGGAACCTGGACAACGGGAATATCTCAAAAACCAAGACAGGAGGTTCGCAAAGAAAGACTATCCTTGGAAAGGAAAATGAGAACACATAAGCATTTATAAACCAAAGGAATTCATGCGGGAACCGTGCAGAAGAGAACCACTGGAGAAATGTGTGAGGTGTATGTTCCAGAGGAACCTTTGGTTTGGACCCACAATGAAATGTGTGGACCTTGTGGGGCCATGACTTAAAAATAGGCACCCACGGAAAACCCAAGGGCTAAAAGGTCGGCTATGGAGCCTATGTATACATTGCCGTTGGTTCCCGTTTTGGCGCTTTCCCTGAAAAGATTCGCGGCACAGATCGGACTTTCGCGATTTCTTTTTGGGAGGGCGGCCTTTCGAAACAAAGAGTCAACCCCTCACCGTGGAAGGCTGATTTTGTCTACGGCGTTCCGCTCGATGCCCCTGGGCAGCCGCGCCCTTCTGCCCGCCACGCGCCGCATCCGCTTGATCCTCGGCGCTTAAAACCGCGCCCGGGACGAGGATAAAATCCCCCGTCAGAGGCTGAGCGGGGCACAGACGTGGCCAAAGGGGGAAACGAGAGAGCTTCATGCGAATGTTGACCCCATATTACTCAACCCCAGTTTAATAAGAAAAACTTCAGTTTATTAAAGGGGAACACTCCAGACCATTTTTTTCTGTTGGGGGGTTGATCTTTGAGGACGGGGCAAACCTGAACCATCACCTCCGCGCAAGAGGAGGACATAAGCGCAGGCAAAGTTCGATGTAGACAGGTTGATGTACATCCTGTTGTGCCAAGACAGAGCCCAGTTGGGTTAAAGGAGCCAAAATTAGTGGGAGACAGGACTAAAAATGGACCAGCATGCGGACACTAAAGGTCGATCAACAAGTTGCCTTTGGGCAAGTGAGGAACCTGAAAGCTCCCGTTCATGCAGAACCATCTTCAAGGAGCACCCATTTGGTCGCCCAGAGCTTCCGGGCAACTCTGATTCCGGGTTTGGCCTTGAGGCCGGGAGCGTCACCGCGGGGCCGACAGCTGAAAAAGGATGAAGATACAGAAGGCAAAGCCCGCTGCACAGTCAGCTGCGTGGGAAAAAGCGGACAACCACAAGTTTGTTGAGAGCACATTCCTTTTCATCTTACGGAAAGACCCGCGACGAGCGGCTTTCCCAAAAACTTGCGAGACATGCTCAGGCGCAGGCTGGTTGAAGGTGCATTTGGTCAAGCCCTCCAGCCTGCGAATGAAGCCAACTCTGGGGTTGGGTGGATTGCTTTGAAATCTCAGGAATCAACAGGGGGGTTGGGAATGCCTTGAAGAAAGCCACAAGGGATGGTTTGTGGGTGGGCTGGAACACCAGCCATATATGACTTTGTTTCCATGCTAACTGGTACTGGTGGGAATCATCAGAGCAAGAGGCAAGCCCGTAGGAAACAAAAGATCTCATCCATGAAACTGGGATGGTTCAGCCCGGTGTTCCTTCCCAATCGAAGCAAGCAAGCCAGAGCCTCCAGGAAATCCAGTGGAGAGAAAGCAAATCCATGTGAAGCCTTGGTAACCCATGGTTGGTGGCAGAAAAAAATACATTTCCCATTTTGACCAGCCAAAAGCAGGCCAACGCTTTGCCCACAAACAAAGGAGTATTCAGAAAACATTCGGACTCTGGCCATATTTAGCCTACCCTTACACAAAAACAAGCTTTAGAGGACCCCGGATCTGGGTTCCTTTGGTCGGCTAAATGGAAACCCCCACTAACCCTACAAAGCTAAAACGCCAGGGAGATGGCTGTGCCAAGTTTAATGTCTCAAAGCCATTTGTACCAACAAGCAATGGCTTCAACCATGATTTCAAAGTGGCGCGTTGCCGGATTTCGGCCCTCCACAGTATTTAAAGGCCATTTGTGTTGCGGCAACATTTTCCGCCGTCTGGCCTGCCTTGGGCCTTGGCGCTTGCAAATGGGCAGCTTCACACTGCGCTCCCCTGCTGCCTCGACGCAGGGGGGTCTGTGGGGCGGAGTGTCTGGGTGGGGCAGCTTACCTCTGACTCTAACTGGTGGTTTGGGTGGTTTGGTGGTGAAGGAGGGGTTTCTCATCTACCCTCAACAAGAACCAGGCGGTTCAAATTCCTAAAGCACCCATCCACCAATTAAAGGGTATCTGAGTAGCTGGGCAAAAAGAGAGCTGACAAACGCCGGATGTCGTCATGCTGCCAACCTTGCCCACGATCCATGAACCACTGGCCTCCTCATTGCCACAAAATATAGTGGAGAAATACAAATTTCCCCCAATTGAAGGTTCTCTCTCTCGCTCTCTGCCATTGCGTCCAGAGGGCCTTGACTCAGCAAGGCAACGAAAAAGGTGCCCACTGATATTCAGAGGCACCAATGGAAGGTGAAACGGCGGTAAGTATCTCAGACCAAAACCCCTTCTCCCCCATAGGTTTGGTGTTCCGGAGCCCCTGCCGGGGAAAACACATCATCAATTTGGCCCGGCTCTCAGCCGAACACTTGGGCCACTGCGCCCCAAGGACGCCCCCACTTGGTTCCCTCTGCCGCATCAAACCAAAGGACACTCAGGAAAAAAAGCTCTTCACCCGGTAAAGTGACCTTTGCGAGATGGCACAAAAGCGCCAATACGTGTTGCTTCGACCCACCTTGACATATCTTTGCAACAAAGCCCGAACAAAGAACGCAAGCCAGAGGCGGGTCAGAGTCAACTTTTATGAAGACTTGTCACGGGGCATAACTGATTGGCCGATTTGACCCCTGCAGCAAAAATGCGGGTTTTTTCAGACGGCAAAGGCTAAGGGGTCAGTTTGCAATATGTTGAGTACAGAACTAAGTGCTGGCTCTCAACCCCCTTTTCCCCAATCTCATCCAGATCCGGCGGTTAATTCTTTGACGAAACAGGGGCAGCCCTCAAACTAAAACACGCACGCAACTCTTGGTTGACCTTGGAAGGGGAGCAACCATTTTTAAAACAATATAGCAGTTCTAGGCAGAGAAAAATGACTTTTAGCAGTTAAGTGGGGGATTTCAACCACTAACCCACAACAAGCAAGAATGTCACATGTTTCCCCACAACAACCATGTCTGAACTTTTTTATTTACCACTAAAATGGTCTTTCCAAAAAGTTTAAAGTCCATCCTAAGGGGAGCAAACATTTAAAACAATATAGCAGTTCTAGGCAAGAATGTCACATGTTTCCCAGCAATGAACTGGCCGCTATCTGGTCCGGTCGAGCCCCCGCCTTCCATAGCTCCGCGAAGCTGGTCACGGCTTCTCCCAGCACCAAGGGGGCGCTCAAGCGGTTCCTCGAGAACTCGAGGAAAATTTGGGACCGACCCTCAACATACTCCCCAGAAAACCGCTTGTTGCCCAGGATTCTCCGGGGTAGTCACTTTTTCTTTTTCTTTTTTATGTGTTGGAGGGTGCAGGTATACAGCCGGCTGCCACGGAGCATTGTTGTTTACTCCTAGGAAGTGCTGAATTTCGAGGAGTTGGGCAAGTGCTGAATTTCGAGGAGTTGGGCATCGTATAATCTGGGAAGAAGGTGCCAGATTCTGAATCTACTAACGTCCATCCCTTCCGAATTAACCGCCGCTAGCCGCCAGGAGAATTCATCAATGGCTCGAATGTTTCAATACATCGTGCTTGCACTGACAGCATTCAGCAGCTCGCCCCTGGCGATTCAGGGAAGCGTGCAAGGCAAGAAATCAGAACCGAGACTGCAGAAACCACACATGACAACACAGCCAAGAGTCCTGCGCTCGCTTCGCTTCGTGCCCAAACAACCTAGGACCTAGGTGCCTATAGGGCAAGCAAGTTGCCAACCAGCATTGTTTTCAAAGAGCCCAAGTGGAATCGGTTGGATGTTTGGGGTGGGCAGCTGGTCGCATTGCAACACAACTCTGCAAGGGGTGCATACTGCTCAAGTCGTCTTGCAGAAGTGCCATATAGAAAAACCAAAGCACACCCGAACATTTGCTTTGACACGTGTGGCAAAAATGACGGTGGCCGCAGAAGATAGACTCTGGGCACAACATCAAGAACGCAACGCGGCAAGGTGTTTCACATCCTTAGTGTCAATAGCTCCCCTCATTGGCCTATACGTAGCTAGGTCCTTGAGTAGAGAGGTTAGAATAAGGGGTACACTTTTCCCGTCGTCAATTTTAGTAGTGGAACCCATTTTCAAAAAAAAAGAGTAGAAGAGCACAACCGGGGACCTAGGCAGAGTGAATTCCGCTTAGTGGGCAAGAGTCTTCAGATACCCTTCCTCCTGCAAATGCTGCAGCTTGTTCCAGGGAACTATCATCAAGTTCCTCTTGCAGAGCCCCCCCCTGTCAGGTGCCATGTTGGTAGAGGTCCTCCAGTGGAGAGTTTACTGGGCGACCTAGACAAAATCAATGCTTTCAATCATAATTTCAAAGTGGCGCGTTGCCGGACTTCGGCCATCCACCGTAGGGCCGGGGCTTTTGACGCTTCCGCGGCATTACGCGCCGCCATCCCAGCAGGTGGATAGGTCGTAATCTTCCGAGTCCACGGCCAATCCTCGATGGTGAGAATCACGTCCTCTGCCGGCCGAAGAGAAAACGAGGAGCTTCTGCCTTCTTTTTTCGGGGCCAAGCGCCTTTTTCGCTTCTTGTTGGTTTTGGAGCCTTACACTTCGGAAATCTGACCGGGGGTCAGTCCTATGAAGTTTCGGCCAAGAAAGGCGCGGTTTGCATTCGGAAAAACGGAAGCTTGCAGAAAACTGTGCTGAACCTTGCTGGAAACTCAAAAGGAAACTTCACCGAAGGGACCCTCAAACCATATTGCCAAAGCCCCGCCTAAAGGTCAGAAGGTCGATTGAAGCGTGTCAAAATAGGGGCTTGGCCACCCAAAATGATTGGCGTCATAACAAAAAAGTAGATCAACTCTTTGGCTTAACTCTGCCTTTTTGAGCGTTGGAAGTTTGCTGGTGGTGATAACCAACCACAAAACAAAGACAGATCACGAAAAAACGCCGGCCCCGTCAACCTTTCCAAATGGAGCTGAAGCGCCCTTGGAACACCCAGGTTACTTAGGGGTGGGGGTGGGGTGGCTCCTTCAAGGTTCGGTTTGACCTTGAAAAGTGCCTGAGCATAACAATGCGTCGTCTTTTGCTAAAAGGGGGGAGCGAGCCGGCAACATGCAAGCTCACGTGAGCAAAGCTTGTGCCCACATGAAATCCCAAAAGCTCAGGCCATTGAACGCTGCAGGGCTGAACTCTGCAGGGCTGAACTCTGCAGGGGAAAATGCTGCCACCCAAAAAAAAGAACGAATGAGACTTCCGAGGTGTGTTCAGCTGGTCGGCATCGTGCGTAGCTCGCGCAGCAATCGGAAATCGCTCCCTCCTGGTCTTCCAAGCCCCGGCAGACTTGTGCTGCTGTGATGCCCGCGTACTTGAACCTGGCGAGGGACAGAGCTGGTGGACTTTCAACTGCTTTGGTAGGAAATGCCTATCCCCAGTTGGTTTCTTGAGTAAATGACGGCTGTTATTTAGCACACGCTAGCCCTCCCCCTCCGCATTTTTTTGAGTGAAGAACAGGGCAAATCTCTGGAAGCAAATTGTTCAAAGAAGCTCGAGGGATTTGTTGGGATGTTCAGAACAACCTCAACAACCGGCTTCAGTTGGCAATTCATTCGCAGGATTTTGTCCCTCCGACTCCTTCTCGGATGTTCAATGCGCTTGGTAGGTAGGTTAGTGGTTGTAAGTGGGGCAACTGAGGTCAGTCCTCTTATGTTTATAGTTATAACCTACTTAGACCTACTTGGTAAGTGGTTAGGGTACCTCAAACATTGAGTTTCCTTTGTACCCCCCCTGGTTTTCATTTATTTGGTTAAGACCCCTGGAAAAAAAGAAACATATTTCCAGTGAAACAATCCGTTTAAAACCAACACGGAGAAAGAAAACATATTCTTAAGCAACTGGAAGCTTTAGGGCTTCACAAACCGTCCAGCTTAGCGCAGCGAACCGAGCCTGGGCTCGGTGCTCTTGCGGGCCACTTCGCTGCGGAAGCAGGGCACCAGCCTGAGCCCAGGGTGCTTAGAGCATGTGGCTGTGGCTGAAATTAAACAGGGGGGGGACACCGCAGGTTTTGGTCCATGTTTCCACTTACCAGGCGTCCATTTTGGGTACCGGTCTTTTGAGCCACAGCCATGTGAACGGAATGAGAATCGATTCGTTCCCCTTTGAGGAATGTTTGGGTGGGTCGAGTTCGTTCTGGGCACCCTCCAAAATGGGATTTTGGTGTTCCTGGTGATTTCCCTTTCAAGCCCCCCCCCCCCCAGCCTCAATATTTTGCCATGATCAAAACACCCCCGGTTTCACCCCCAGAAACCGTCAAAATAATGACCCCCAGCTGGAGGTGTCCTTTTGGCGAAATGGATGGATGTCCCTGGTGCGACGAAACAAAAAGCGTCCAAAGCAACCAAAAAGGACACCATTGCTTCGGAGGTTTTCAGGCTCATAACAACCTGCACGCTGGGTGTTGAATTAGGGGCCTGGGAAAGCAGAAGAATCAGATTCCCTTGTCATATGCGGTTTTGTCTCTGCAGGGGTCCGCCCAAATGGTTTGTTTCCAGTGGAACCCCCCATTCAAGAGACCACCCAAGGCAACACACGCTCATCTTTGAAGGAATCCAGCCGGCCAGCATCGCGACACGCACTAAGTGACTGGCAGCAGAATCACGCCCGCAAACAATACGACCAATGAGAAAGTCGCAAGGTCAATTCAAGGCCAATGGGTCCTGCGAGTATTGGAAGCAAGTCGCTCGCAAAAACCCTCCATGTCAATGGAGAAACACATGTCTTGTAGCAGTTGGTTTTGCAGGAAATCAATCTTGATGGATTGGGCGTGCATTCTTTGTTGGGGGGGAATTCCCTGCTAGCGTCCCTTTAAACCAACCCAAATGGGGTCACCACCTCAAAAAAACAGACCCAGTTGGAGAAGAGATCAAGAAATCCCCCTCCCTGAGGATTTAAGTCCTTGCATGTCTGAGGAATGACTTGTTCGGCCAGTGACATGGGTTTTCACAGTTGGGCGAACCACAACATATGCCTTACCAGGCCCGGTGCATGCATACCCTCCCCCAGGCTAACATTCATGGAAGCTCCCAGGACCTGTTTGGAAGACCGGGGTCCATTTACAGAGGCCTTCTGGGAGCTTCCATGTTAGTCTGAGGAAGTGAATATATTGATACGTACCTGCAGTTTGATTGTTCAAGTTGTCACTGTTCGAAACCTGTGTGTGCTTCTTTCCATGGAAGCCCGGTCGGAAGCGAGCCGCAGTTTTGTCTGGAAGCTTCGCTCGGAGAACTTGCTCTGGGAAACCCCGGCGACTTGTCGCCGTGGCACAACCCCGCTACTCGCAACATGTGCCCTTCATTGCACGACCTGCGCTTAATTTTAGAGTTCATACAGACCCCAGGAACAATACCTTCTTCCACCGGCACCAAATTCAAATGCTTTCTTAAAGTTACCTAATACTACTTTAGTTCTGCAGGCCTCAAGTGACACCGAGAAACTCTCAAGAACACCCCGGAATAAGAGCCAGCCGACAAACTTTATAAACAACGAACTGGTGTTATTATGATTTGTACCTTTTGCCGAAGTAAACTGTTCACAGGGCAAGGTGTTGCAACACACACACACACAGAACGCACAGCGGCCTCATGTGAATCTCAGACCATGGTTTTCAACCAGGGAGGATGCAGAAAGGTCGTTAAACATCGCAAGACTACAGTTTGCACCCGCATTTGTCCATCAGTTGGGGAAGGGGGTTGCTTGCAGGGGCCACCAAGGTTGATTTTGAGCTCGCTTTAGCCCTAAAACATTCAACCCAGCCCGCGCGCCGAAAACACGCGTCAGAGCGAGCGTGTGTTTCGAAAAAAAGGGTCCCCGGATGTCCCCGCAAATGAAACATTGTTCCGTTTGATTTACGCCAACCTTAAAAAGACACACTCAAAAAACACCCACACGTGTGGCACACGTGGAGCTTCCCTGCCTTGACTTAGCCTTTTCACAGGAACCCTTCAAGGAGACACCCCCAAACCTGAAACCTTGGAGGAAGGGGGCACACGGCGCTTCTTTTTGCACACCTGCAGAACCTGTAAATATAAGAACATCACCACCAACAGGAAGCCCATTGTGACTTATCAAGCAATGATATCTGCCCAGCCACCAAACGTCGGCACATAAGGAGCCCCAATTCCTGACAGTGGCTCTTCCATGCTTTTCCTTTCCGAGCGCAGGAGAAAACAATAAACCAGAAGCCCTTTCCGCATTGCAGGAAGATGCGGTCTGGGCCTTGCCAGCTCAGGCGCCATCAGCTACCCCGCTGGCTGCGGCTCAAACACGTGCACAGCATCCTGCCGCAAAGCCGAGCTCAGGACATCTGAATCGGCCTGCGCAGGGCGAAAGTCCGACTCCCTGCCTGACACCGGAGTTGATCAAAAGGTCCACCGAAACAGATGACGTCTACCACATGGGAAAAGTTGTTTTGGGGCCAGGAATTTAGTTGCTGCGCCCTGTGCTGAAGCTGCGTTTTGTGGGCGAAGCTCCTGTGCTTGTCAACAGCCCCCCCCCTTAACCCGGGCCCAGATTGAGTACGACTTTGTTGGGTGCGTCTTCAGCGCTGCCACGGGGTAAGCGCATGACTTGGCACGCACAGCCTGGGCCTCACTTCTTGCAACGGCTGAAAAGAAATCATCCTTGATGCATAATCGCAAGCCTGGTCCACCCAAGCGCACGTTTGCTGGAATACGCTTCAAAGACCCGCGCGTTTTCGTGAAATCCATGTGTGAGCAAAATCTGTTTTCTCGCGGGGAACCCTTGCCAAAGGCAAGAACTATGTGCGATCGATATGCTTTTGCAAGAACCTAACGTTCAGCTCCTGCGCTGGCACTGGTGCTTGTCATTGGCAAGAAAGCCAAGTCAACATGAGAAACTCAAGAACACACACACACTCTCTCGCGTCCCTCTAGGCACATTTAAGACTAAATGTTCCTCAAATATACCGGCTTCTCTTGCAGATGTCCGTACATGTCCCACCGTTCTCCGCGCGGTTCTGAATTCTGCTGTTGGCTGAGAAAACGGCAAACGCGCAAAGCGGCAAGGGAACCGTCACACGTTGAATCAATCAGATGGACAGATCAGGCGGGAGGCGGAGTTCAGCAGTGCCCTTAGCCCGGAGCGGTGTGTCGGATTTGCTCTGACGATTGTTTGGCCTCTCCGCAAGCATTCTGCGTGAGGGCAGCGCTGATGACCGGACATTCTTCTCAAATTTGCAACAAGTCCACATGTGCGTGTGTTTAGGAAAGTTGCGTGCACTTGTGTGAGTTGGAAGGTCCAGGAATGCTATCGATACCCGGACGCGGTGTGTAGCAATTCAGTTGCGAACCTGTTGGGTCCAGGAGTTCGTCACACCTTCAGAAATCGTTCTTCGCTCGTCGAGCGAGACTTTG